CATTAAAAACCGACAGCGAATCGCAGGGACAAAAGAGGCAATGACGACCCAATTTCATGAAGAAATACAGGCCGGAACACACCGGGCAGGCCAGTGCAACCTTGCGTTTTTGCACTAGTACTCAGTTCATTAACTGCATTAATGGTTATTGCTTTACCCTACCTTTTGCGGTTACTAACATAAATCACCATAAATTTTGCAATTTCCATTTAACGGTCTTTCTCTAGAAGTAACCTAGCTGTTCAGTGCGAAATTTTTCCGCCAAAACTTTTTTGTGTCCGCACGTAACAACCCCCCAAGGCTGAATCTGAAATACTAAAGTTGTACTTGGACAGGGAACATTTCTCCAAAATTTCAGCTTTCCAGCTTTTCTGTTTCCCGACTTAGTAATTTTCCAGCAGAAACTTTCATACGCCCTTACGTGAGTACCACGCATGGCTTGGGGCTGAATATGAAATATTTGAGTTGCACTTGGATAAGGAACATTACCTCAGAATTTCAGCTTTCCAGCTTTCTTGGTTCCCGAGTTAGCATTTTCCCGCTAAAACTTTCATACGCCCTGATTATCACGCATACCTGGGGGCTGAATCTGAAATCTTTGGCTAGCACATGCACAGGGAATATCCCTATAAAGTTTCAGCTTCTTGGATCGTGTGGTTCCCGAGATCGCTTTCCCGCCAAAAAATTTTCATATTTTTTAAAGCGTCCATACGCGGCACCCAGGCATCCGCGGGGGATGAAATCAAAACGGAAGGGTCGTGCATGGTATGGGAACACACTTCCAAATTTTCAGCCTTCTAGCTTTTCTGGTTCTCGAGTTGAAAGTGGGTGACAAAAAGTGCGAACACACAGACACACACATACACACACAAACACACACACAGCCTCTTCCCAGTTTGCGTTTTTGCAATTTGCATATATGCAAAAACGCATAAAAATGAAATTCCCAAGTGACTTCCAAGTTTTCAATGGTAAACAAGTTCAACACAAATCTGGAATACACTTAACACAAACCTGTGATGTTAAAACCAAAATTACCTAAATGAACAACATTAGTTGCAGAGGGGTCCTCGTCCCATGGAATATCACCAGCTGGATCCAACAAAAACCTATACATACTCTTCGCATTCATCTGTCTATCGTAATCCTTATGAAATTCCCCATCCCTGTAAAATTTCGATAAGAACAAGGAATATTTTCAATTTTACTATCCGTCAGTGACTGCGACAAAGGATGACTGAACTGCCCAATAGCGAAAACGAGTGATACTGAGCTAAAAAAAAAAACAAACGATGCCTGGACGGCTTAAACTAAGCCCAGCAAAAGTCCATCTGAAAGGCTATA